GTCATAGTCAATTATCAAAAAATTGGTTATATATTTCTCCCCCATTATCATATTGAATGAACCCACAAGTGCATTTGCTTTTGAATTCCCCCCCCCACCAGAAGCTGGATATGCCACTGCTTGACACATTACTTCTTTAGTAGTAGCTTATTAGTCCCTGCAGGTTCGTGGAAGATATGAATACTTACTATTGGAAAATGGTTTCATTTACACAAACAAAGCACAGCCCCAGACCATATCTTTGGGGCAAATTTTTTTTCAGCCTTTAAACTTTAGAATTTCTTCAGACGATGATTTATGATCTGAAGGACGAGGCTACATTTGGTGACTTTATTACACGTTTTGGAGAGGAGGGGGAATGAGATCATCCCTCGAGTCGATTTTTTTCTCATCACATTTTTGAAAGAAATTTTTTTCTCCTTTTGGAGGGAGATTTCCCCGTTGCCACCCCGATGAGCTAGTTGAGTTAGAGTACAGGGTGTATATTTCTGTGTTTGTTGTGTTGAAATCCAATTTGATGATCAACTGTCAATCTTCCTAGAATGCTGGTTTTCTTAGGAAGATGGGACAGCATATTTTTTGCACATATTAAAACGTTTTTGCTTTGCCAGTCTTCACTTTCTCTTCAGAAGACACCAACTTGTTTAAGCCTCATGTCGCTGTATTCTTAAAGATTCTGGCGGTTGGTGCAATAAGGAAAGCCCAATTCCAAAATCGCAGTTTTAAACTGAATCTGGCTTGGTAATTTGTTTGGAATGTATGGTTAATGCTCTGTTCATATGACCGATTTTAGATAGGGCTTGTATTGCCTAGCCTGTTTGTAGATAATGTTTATAGGCGTTATAATCCACTTGGACATTTCACTGAAGTAGTTAGTGACTGATGGGAACACTTACAAAACATGCAATGCTGGATTTGGTTTTGGAAAGCAATTTGTATAATTATGTCTATATGTATTGAATTGAAATCAAAGTTAATTATCACCTATCCATTTCCCAAGCGTTTTGTCTTTCTTAGGAAGATGATAGAGCATACTTTGGTTCCGATTTAAAATGTGTGGTTTTGTCATTATTGTGTAAAACATCTTTTCACTCCCTCTCTCTTGAGCCAGCATGTTGATTGAGCTAGAGCTCTATTCTTAGAAAAGACTGGCAGTACTGGCGTTTCACAATAGTGCGCCTCCAAGAGTTTGCAAAGCGAGGACCAATCAGATTGCGCGAAATCTGTCGACCCAATGCGCATATTTGGAAAGGGTAGACAGATTTCGCGCACTGTTATTGGTCAACGCGTGGCAGACACTTAGAGGTGCACTATCGTGAATCGCCTGTATTCATGAACCCAATTTCAAAATCGAAGTTTAAATTGAAAGGTTGCTTAGGTATGTTACTGTTGCTTGAAGTGCATGGTTAACGCTATGGAAATATGACCATTTGTAAATATTGCTTGTGTTGCCTATATCTGTGTACATAGTTACTTAATGTTTTTGGGCGGGTCATAATGCACTGGTACATTTCATTGAAATAATGACTGACGGGAACACTTACACAATATGCAGTGCTGGATTTGGTTTTAGTAAACATTGTGTATGTCTTTTGTTGAAATGAAAAGCAAATATCATCCATCCATTTCTCTAGTTTTCAGGAAGAGGAGACGGCATACTTTTACACAGATTATAAATTTCTGGTTTTAGTGTTCTTTTGTGAAAATCTTTCTTTTACCGCCCTCTATTAAACAAGATACCAACTGTTTAAAGGCTTTTATAGCTGTATGAAAAAATTGGCAGTTGGCCACAGAGGAAAACCCAATTCTGAAATTGCTTTTTAACCTGCAAGCTATTTTGGTGTTTTGCTGTGGGTGCATGGTTAATACCTGTAAATATGACCATTCTAAGGACTATATCGTACCTGTTTTAGTATCTTCTCACGGTGTAGTCTTCAAAGCTCTCCACTTGCCAAGCGATATGCGTGGCAAGTGGAGAGCTATTCTTCAAACTGTTACTGTCAGGAATTTCAGATTCTCACCCGTAGCCATGCCAGGCCAGCCTCTACTCTAGACCCAAATTCCTTCGAACTGTTTCTTTTGTGTGAGTGAACAACGGTATGTGCTGACCCTCCCACGCCAAGGCCTCTATTCGATACACCCTGAGCTAGCGGACCGCTGACACGCTGCAGGCCAAGTTGCTTTCAGTCAAGCTGTGTGGGCATTCTGCTTGAATGTGGCCGTTCATCTCTACACCCTGCTGGGGCACTGCACTCGTGCAAGGCATCGAAAGTTAAGACAACACCATCGGCTGCAACAACGTATCCGTGCCGGAACAATACTCTTCCTCGCCTGTCAAACCCTGCTACCCGCGAAGTCAGCCACCCAGGCCCCATTCTGCAGACCAACCGTACTTAAGCGGCGACGTTACCACCGAGTGCCCTCTACTTGTCACCTACTCCTCGGCTAACAGAGCAACCTGGCAACCTGCTAGGTTGTAAACAGTCGCTAAACCTTCATGTTTCCGTAAGAATTGGCCGACTTCTTAATCCATATTTTTGTAACGGTGTGTGTTACATTCATTCAATGTAATTTTCATCCTCGGTTGATTTTTGTAGTGTAGTAAAATAACACGCGCTTTACCTATTCTGAAATGCAATTCTAGTTCCTCAATCTTGTTGATTTCTGACTTGTCACTTTCTCTGTCCCATTTTGACTCACTGGATTTGTTCATTGAATAATTTTTGCTTTCTAGGCCCGTAAGACCAGAGCTGTTGATGTTACCGTACTTAATCACATGTCGGCGGATGACGTGTTAACACATATTTTCCCTATTTACTCCACGGCGGATGTGCATACTCGTTCAAGAATTCGTTGCCGCGGTTGACATATTAACGAGTCGTGCTTGGTTGAGTCGCAGAGGAGGTTGAGTCAAAGCACGAAAGACGATCCTTATACACGCAGACGCTGCCACTGAGTGGACCCCTCCACACACTAACCCATATACCCAGCAAGATATGGGACGGACGGGTACCCCCTTACATGTCTAATCTCCATACACACTCTGGACTATTGTTACCTAACACCCCCCCCCATGCGTGTAAAGAATTCCTGAGATTCCGATCAAACATTGACCAACACAAAAGTGGTGGTGTGGTGCTCGCTGTCCCAAATCTTGCTTCATGTGTCAACCCACAATAATCCTTACATGCCTTTCTCGAGTAATTAGAATTGATTGGGAACCCACACCATACACGAAAGGACCAAGGGGACAAAAAACCTCCTTTAATTGGCGGTGAACCAATTTGCAAAGAGATGAGGTTACAAAATTCCATTTAGCATTGTATCAAACAACTGTCAAAAACCACACATGGCCACTAGTGACGCCTATATAGGCTATTGACCTTTTGTATATGAACCGGTAGATGCCTGGACACGCCCCACGATTTTTACCAGGACAGTTGAAACTGCTGAACAGAAAAACTCGGGGAAGGCAATTCAAAAATTCAGGGGGAAGAAAACTCAAGAGTTGTGTCTCCCTACATATTTTATGGGCGCCAGAAATGAATTGCAAGGTTGACGAATTTTAGAAAAAATAACACCCCAGCATTTTTTTGGAAAAAAACCGACATTAACTGGCTATTTTAATACTTTTATACTAAGTCAGCACTATCAGCAGGGGAATTCTCAATGAGATAACCGTTCCAGTCGCTAAGTCTTCATTCCTCAAAGATCTACGCCCGATATCTTTTAAAATGAGCTGTTTGAGAAGTAGTCTTCGTCAAAAGCATATATATTTTATCAGAATGATCATAAAGCAAACTGTATTTATTTTGAATATTCTTGGTTTACAAATGTTATTTTAATCAAACAATACTAAAACAACCCGTTACCAAGTATGTTCAGAGTCGAGTCAATCCATCTGATCGTTAATTCCTAAGAAAAAAAACTGTTAATGAATATCCTTATAGCCGACAGGCCGCCAGAACATCCAGCATCCATATTGGCTGATTCACTGCTTCCTTGAATACAAGTGTTCAACTGTATTATTCTCAACCTGTCAAGAAAATCATATTGTTCCTTTAGCACAGTATCCACCTTGAGCAGAAGCACCCCTTCATCGGTTGAAAGGCGCAATGTTAGTCGGGAGTGTTCATTTTGCTGATACTGACGCGACCGTAATGTGCATTTTCATAGTCGTTCATAAATTAAGGAAGTGAGGTTCCAACCAAAGAAGCCTCTGTTGCTAGGAAGTTTTCGCCCTCTCTTGGTCCAGCTCGGGGCTCATAGGACAAGGGTATTCTCTCTGTCTCAGCATGAAATTACTCCAAGTTGAGGGTACTGAGGTAGCCCCATAATGTGGCTCATACACTGGACTATTAGCCCCGAGCTGGACCAAAAGAGGGCGCAAATTTCCTACCATTACAGGCTACCTTGGTAGGTACTACACTTCGCTGGTTCACAAACGAATATTAAATGCACGCGTTACGGTGGCATCGCTACCAACAAAATGAGCACTGTTAACTAAAATGGCTGTTTTCAACCGATGACGGGGTGATTCTGCGCTAGGCGGATAAGGAGGTAGTCTAGTGTATAAGCCACATTACGGGGCTAGTACAGGTGTACATGCAACTTCCTTGGAACAGATTTTCTCATACGCAAAATGTTACTCCTTAGGGTTAAATTCATCCTTTTTAAAAATTAGGAAGTACTCTAAACCTGAGACACATCTCAAAGATTTAATACAGCTACTGCAAAGATCTGTCGATTATTTAATTAGCAACACGATGGAATATAAGGAGTTTTTGTCACTCATTCAAGCTGTATTATACTGCCCCATTCATGGTTCTTTTTATAACATCTCACCCACAGATTCTGAATCTCGATTGGCCGAAAGTGCCGTCCCGTGAAGCTTGCTAGTTTTACTTATTTTTGCACCGCCACTCAAAAAAGACTGTACACATGTAGCCTTGCTCATAAAAAGAACTATACCCGTAGCAACCAAAAAACCCGTAGCAATGAATAGTACGTGTATTTCGGCTCATCAGAGTTGTAGACTCGAGTTAGTTGACTTGGACTCGCGCTATCTTTATAAATCGTGACTTGAATTGTAACTATCAATTTTTGACTTTTGACCTGGCTTGGACTTGTGAAATTGACTTCCTGCCACCTCTGCGGCTCATAGCTTAAACCTATGGGCGAGGTGTTATAAAACATATTGACTGCTTTATCTCTTGGTATAGTAAAACTGGTCTCCCTCGGCCGAGCATACTCTTTTCACCTGGCTTCTTCTCTGGAAAAGAGAGCTCTACGGATCACTTGGGGAGGCTGGTTTTACCACACAACTCGAAACAGTCAATATTTGTATACTAGCGTTTTGAAAAATTGCAAAGTGCAACGAGCTTTTGATTAAAGGTCAAATTTGGAGAAGACTTGATAACATCGCTACAGAATGCAATGCGAACTATGTTCACCTGAAACAGAAGTCACATGGTGGTTTGCGGTGAGCATATTTTACGTATCTAGCCACTTTAAACTCGAAATAAATGAATCGCGTGTAAGACATTTTGTAGGAACGGAATAATGATCAAGCGTAATATTTCAAAATAGCGAGTTTATTCGACAACGAAGTACGATGCAGAGTCGACTCTCATAGGGCAGACCTGGAGCGCTCGTATTGCTGCTTCGAAAATGACCTTGGACGCGCTTCCAAGCGCTCTAGTAATACCGAACTAGCTCATTGATCCAAACAATGTATCTATCTCGTAGCGGTGCTTGAGTGCAGTGATATCAGCTTCTTGGAGTTGAGACATGTACTTTTCCAAAGTTGCTTGACCAGAGGTATTCGTAGGATTAGTGGACTTCGGAAAGGAGACGAATTTTCTCAGGCCTGTTTCTTCCAGGATGATATCGGAGTCCCTCGTCAGGTGTTCAAACCGGCCGGTGTAGTTATAACGGAGCAAACACGGGTGGCACATCTTGTACATCTCTTTCCAGTGCTCCGTGGCGTCGTAGCTGTGGAATACACTGCGAGGGTCGCTCACGTACCGGACGAACTCCGCGAACTGGACCTTCGTGAAGGTTCCCCGGCCCGCGACCGATTTCGTCGAGTTCAGGTATGGCCGTAGTTTTTCGAAGACTGCCCTCTGTATCAATCGGTTCTCGGCGCTCTCCCTCTCAAACTTGTCCCGGTAACAGGAGATCACCCGCTGAAGTGGTTCCCGCGTAAACATGATAGTGGTGTATTCGTCCAATCGCCTTTTAGCTTCTTTCATCGAGTATTGTGAGAGCCGAGGTATCTTCGTGTAGTGTGCCCGGTTATTCGAGATGTCTTCCATTTTCTGGAATCGACCGAGGAGCAGTAGAAATATGCGCTTCCAACCGGTGCAGCCCACCTTAGGAATGTAGCAGTAAATTAGCTTGTGGGAATCTAGAACGAGAAGGTGGTCGAGTTTCCTCAGAACATCTCGGGTCAGATTATAGTGTAGGTCTGGAATGCCTTGATGCCGAAGTGTATCGCAGGTACTCTTAACTCGCCTCCTCTGGAAGTCTTGTTCCTGCAGCCACTCGTCAATGTTCACCTGCAGAGCAAGACACATGAAATGGTTCAGTCTCTTGCTATTGATTAACTTCATATCACCGATTACCTTGCAAAATGACGCGAACAGGCAATGTATAAAGGAAATTGTGTTCACCTAAAATGAATGAGAAGCAAAATCGTTTATCCGCCATCATTTATTGATCACCCCTTGTATTTCCTCAATAGCCCTAATGCCCTGATTTATTTTGCATATGATTTTACATACATCCTAGGGGGTTTGGGTTGACATCAACCCAGGTTATTTCCTCCGGAATTCATCCCCTCCACAGGTCCCTACATTGGACCTGCGAAGTACGTCTGGACACTATAATTGTGGGAAGAAGTGCATACGATCTGGTTAGGGCATAACATAAACACAACATTAAGGCCGTGTCCGAAATGGGCTTCCAGAGCACGGACGTGTATAATAAAATCTGGACTCGCACTGCCCTTAATCAGCTCATAGAGTCATTGAATCAACCCGCAGCCATTTTTCCGAGCCGAATACAAAGCTTTTCCGGCAATGCCCACCGTTGTTCTTCCTGGCGTCAATAGAAGGGAACCGCCCACGCTTTTGTATTCGGCTCGGTAAAATGGCCGCTGGTTGGCTTCTTTTTCATACAAAGGCGTTGCAAGTCCAGGTTTTTTTTATATACGTCCGTGTTCCAGAGCTACGACTACGTCTATTGTCTACGCGTCTCTGTGTAGTCCTAGACAACAGATTCGGATGCAGCCGGACCGTGTGACGAGAGAGTTCTAATAACAGCTGGGGGCGCTGTTTTCGGTGCATGGTCTGCAACCCAGACAGATAAGTAGACCATAATGCGATGTGACGTGATGTGCGAAAACTCTTCACATGGTGAGCCTTGTCAATTGGGAGCATATAATTTAAACTTGAAATTAATATGGAAACACTCTTGCTTTCAGATATATTACGTTTATGATTCCAGGCTTTACTAGAATCACGATTTAAGCAGTTTTGAAAACAGGACAGTGTCCAGAAGCTCACCATGTTAAGGGTTCTCGCAGATCACATCACACATTATACGCGAATCGCCCACCTTGCAGACGAGTGTTTATTATATCAATCAATTGTGTATTCAATAACCCCCCCGCGCTTAATCGAGCGTTTGATTTGACACTCGTGACTCCCCCCCCCTTTTCAGGCCTGGCCCAAGTAACCGACCCGCCAAGCCTGTTTCTTGGTGTAGTTTCTTGGCTTAGTTTGAAAGATGCAAAGGAAGTTGATGCCGTTCCAAAAATCGTTGCATTTAGTGACAAACTTGCTCATGTTAAAGTAGATTAAAGGTTGTGTTAACATTTAATTTCTGCATCACCTTTAATCAGGTAACCCAAGATCGTTCGTTTGTCACATTGCACATTCTCTCCAAACCCACGACGACATCACGGGAAGAAATCGAACACACTGTTCCCTGGTTCCCTTTAAACGCCTTCAACTCAAGAAAGAGACCGGTCATAGTGCGTCAAACGATTGCACGAGTTATAAAACCCAAAATGAATAACTTTGAACCGTGTTTGACTTTGACTGCTCCTCATTGTAGACAATTAAGCATCAGGATATTCAGCGATGCAAGAAATTTCGAAGATATTTTTGTCTATTTCTGCACTGGGACTAGGGGCCTAGTTTGGTTGAAACTTGGGGGCGGGGGCTTGAGAGTACAAACATTTATGCCAGAGGGATAAGAGGCAAATAAACTGCAGTCTGTCCGTCGTCTCCTGACAGGGCATACTCTCCGAAACGTTGGGTCCATCACCAGGGATTCTCTTCACATCCCCAATCACGAAAGAGACTCATATGTCACCACCTCAAACTATACAGGTTTCGTTCATTTAGAAATGTCGAACACACCTGGAGAAGTGAAGACGCACATATATCAGCTTGGGGGCACGTCCCCCCACGCAAGTTGCTCAACTCGATCCTGAAGACACTGTTGATGCAATGCATTTTATTTATGATTTGTAAGCCACAGGGAAAACCCGTTTGGGTGTATGAACAACCCCACAAGTTGCTCTTCAAAATAAACAATCGAACAGGGAGAACATTATAATGCTATACTTGGTCCAAGTGACACTCACTTAAAACCACAACTGTTTTCAAATAAGTTTATATATATGCCTGTACTGTGTGGAACTGTGTTGTGAGGTTCAGTCAAGATCATTTCATTGTTTTGGATGCATTCATCCGTTATCGGTTGGAATCCATTCAGGAACAGTTTTTTTTAGGCAGCGCTGTTTTGGTCTTGCACTTCATGACTTAATATTCACTAGCTTGACCTATTAAGCTAGTCTCAGTATTGGTTTATATGAAGCCTGCTGACGTTTGCTTCTTCTTTGCCAGCAAGCGAATGAAAACAGGGCAAAGCAATCACTGAAGCTATTTGAGGGCGTCATTTGAAATTGCTTCCCCGTTCAGGAATGTGGTCCGACGAAGGTTGCCTTCGACACATTGCCGATTTGAAGCAGTGCGTCCAGGATATTTGAAGCAGGAACCCGGTTGAGTTCTTTGGTTCGTCGGCAGAATCGGCGCAGCATGGCTCATGCCCGTCAGAGCACATCAGTGTCCAGAGCGGACAGCCGCATAGAGTCGGAAAAACGCCCATCACAACCGCTTGCCTTGGACTGGGGACCAAACCGTGAACAGGGAGAGGACAAAGAAACAACCCAGGAGGAAGTTACACCGGATGGTGTCTGCTACTGGTGAGTACATTGCATATTGCTCACGTATGAGAAAGATGCTCTTAAACTATAAGTTAGGAATAGTGGTAACTTGGGCTCCCCAAAGAACGGCTTGTTTTTGGCTAACGCTGCGTCTCTGACGTAGGAAAAACTGCACATGTAAGTCTTAATGTTTGGACAGAAACGAGAAGACCCCTGACTTGTATTCACGCCATCATTGGTTGGGTAAAAGCAAACATCAACATAAATCCATGGCAAATCTCAAAAGTCAGAGGCCTCACTGAATATAGAGGTTGAAGCACGAAGAACTGGTGGCAAATTAAGGATGTTGAAGAATATGCATAGGGGTCTCTGTTTGGGGACTATATAGAAATAAATGCGGTTGAATAGCGTTATAAGGGGACCCATACCAGTATCATATAGGATCTACGTATGTGAGTGCCGAGTCCATTTTTTTTAATATAAAAGTTAAAAACACTTCAACTTTGGAGAATTTCTCCAGAGAGTCTGTCAAGTCAAATTCACTCTCAATTTGCCGCCAAACATGAATTTGCACTTAACACGTTTACAAAACCTTAATTAATAATACAGAAGTTGTGGGGGTGTTGGTTGCACCGAGCACCCCGCAAAAGTCAGTTTAAAAAAGTGCCACGGGGTTCTTTTCTGTACAAATTCCTGTACACTTTACATGAAGGCCATAACACAAAGAAGTATCCTGCAATAAAGGCGGTAAATCGCAAAAGAGCTGAACTCTGGTAAAATTTGTCGCGTTCGTTTCATGTTGAAAAGAAAAGTTAACAGTGTTCATTCCTTGCTTGTGCTGTTAACGCTTAATTATACACGTAGGTGTGTCGGTGAGGATTAAGATTTTACATGTGAAACCTTCTCTGTATTTTGTCATTTTGGTGGCGAAATATAAATAGCAACAGTCCATTCGTGGGATTTCTTTTGAATGCTGTAGACTACTGCAGTTTTGCGCCAGAATGTCTACATGTTATCATTGTCTGTTTAACCATGTTGATTTCCCAGTAGCTTTTAAAGTGGACATAGTTACCTCCCCTTGTAGCACTTAAAAGGTCAAAATAGCTTCGGAATTTATTACCTCACGCGACAACAGAGCGAAGTTCTTGTTATTGTCTTCAATTTGTAGCGTTCCCGTTGGTATGCCACCTTTGAACTTGAAGTTCACATTTACCCCCCAAGTGTGCATTATTTTATTCAATTCTGGATCCCACAAGGAGTTTGTTGTCCGGTTCCTTTTTTGTGACCAGTTTTGCGAGGGTCCTGGCTCGTTTCTGGTACGTCGTTGGCATCCTCGTCTTGGTACTCGCGTCTGTTATGGCCGCCCTCACCTTCACCTTGTACGAACTCCCGGATTTCGCAGACCCCACGAAGGTAATGATTGATTTTGTTGCCCTTGCAGGAGGTGAAAAAAGGACTTCAAAGTGTAATGACAAGGTTATTTTTGCTATGATGAATGTCTACACAGTGATAATTTATTGAAAGGGAAGTACTCGGTGAAACCAAAATTAATTAAAAACAGCCCAACGAGTATTCCGAGCTATTTAAGGGCATACACATAGCATTTTTTCGTTTTCAAATACGTATTTGATACCAAGTGTCTACTCAAAGGCGGGTTCAGAGCCATATTGTTCGGTCCCAACTCTTTTTTTGGGGGGGGAGGGTAAAAATGTAAACTTTTTAAATGTTATCTTGTATTGCCTTTCTGAGGAGTGGGGTTGCATTTGTTGGCTTTTGAAGGACACACTTTCTGAAGGAAGGGAAATCAACTTAATCACAACTTTGCCTATCCCTTATTTATCATAATGTGTTGGGGGGTGGACTGCATGGCCCCCCTAAGTCCCGCCCCTGGTTCCGCCCTTAATCGCGTCTATTTAGAAGGCAAATGCCATAACACTGTGTTTTCATAAAAATGCTAAGTTGGTATGCACTGTTTTCTCACGAAAGCATCCGACACACTCTCAGTTTAATGCTGAATACACACTGAAACTATACAAGGGGGTGGACAAGTACACCTCACCCCAAAAAGTCAAAGAATTAGTGCACCCTCGGGGGTCAATGAAGCTCCTGCAACAAAATGCATGGCAGCTAGCACTTTTATGGTTATGCAAGAGGAATGGAACAACCCAAATTCATTGCTTGATACACAAGTCTTACCTACATCAAATATATACAGGCTATTCATAATCACGAGAGACCATCTCAGATAACTCCTAAACAGTAGATGATGCTTATTTCGAAATCTTAAGATTCACACTCCCATCGTCTTTCTTGCGCCCGGTAGATTTTTCCTGTAACAGTTTCTAAATGCAGTCTGCAAAATGGTGATACTCCAACGCGTAGTTCCACACTACTATGAGCTTGTCCTCTCGCTTTATTTCAGGGCTTTGAAGCTCGAGGGACGGCCATCGCCTCACGTGTGTTCAGTCTTCATAATCTGTTAATGCAGTCTGAGGAGTCACTGGTATCCCGTCCCTCGGATGCAGGATTGAGGCAAGCATCTGCCAACCACTCCTTGAAAGGAGACAAGCTGTTGCATCAAGCAAGAATCAAACGGTGGGCGAGTCTGGAAAATGACCAAGGCAACCCATTCTGTAAATCAGCGCGTGAGTATTTATTTCCCTTAAATAAAAAGATGAGTCTTGGACACCAAGCCCTTGAGTGTCACTTAAAGGTATCTGACCATTCCAGTGAGACCTTCAGTTTCCAATTCCCCCAAACTGGTACTTTTGATAAAAACAAAGTCGATCTCAGTTTCCTTCTTTCCTCCTGAATGGACAATTAGGGAGTTTTCTTAAGCATATCCGGTTCGTAAGAGGCTTCGTCACATACACGTGCATGCACCACTGATTGCAAGCTTCCATTGGATGAGCACTCAAGTTGCGCGTTACCTTCGGGTTCCATGTAGCTCTGTGTTCATTGGGAATGGTTTGAATTGAAGTGACGTCACACTTAGGAACTGGATTATGTCAATAAATGGCGTCCAAAAATCAGACTAGACCTTCACTTGTTCTTGCGATCTTGCAGGGCTTTGGGATGACGATCTGCCTCACTTGGTGTTTGAATCAGTCAGCGGCAGCAACATCATGACGCCGGAGGCCGTCAAATCCGTTTGCCGAGAAGAGAGGCGGTTCGTAACATCTCATCCTTCTTACCAAGGGGGTTCTCTCGGCTGCGGCAATGGCAAGTCTCCCCCGCTTGCCTGGTCCGTGGGAAACTATATCGCGCTCTTGTCCAACCGCTCGTCCTGTGAAGATATCACAGAAGAGGACATTGAACAAACCGTGGGTTTGCTGGCACTCTGTGCATCGTCGGTTTTTAACATATCAGGGCAGGAAATGCAGGCCAAGACTATTTCCAACTCTATCCCTGACATCTGCGGTCAACATGATTTCGCCGTCCACAGTATCCTCTACTACCTCCTCCCGACAGAATTTAGTCTGAACCTCATGAGAAACGTCACACCCCTGTCATCCCCGATAACTGTAGTCTATTTCCCCGTGTTTGGAGACAGCGCTGGAACTGTCCTAAAAACCATTTACAAGGAGAAAATATTAGTTCAGCCAGATTCAAACGGAATAACAAAGCTCAGGGCGGTCAACTTTTTCATCAAGTCAAGTATGTTTTCCGATTACTTCTTTGCTGATAGCCTCTTCCTGTGTTTTGCGTCCGTAGCTGTTTTCTTCCTGTCTTGGGCTTACACAAGTTCATTCTTAGTGACACTGTCAGCTTCTTTGATCATCATCTTCTCGCTCGCCTTAGCCGACTTCATATACACAGTAGTGTTGCTGCGGCCTTTCTTCCCGATTGCCAATACCATGGCTATCGTCTTGATAATTGGAGTTGGGATGGATGACACGTTTGTCTTCATGGACTTCTGGAAGAAGTGTCGGTCGGAGTTTGGCGACCAAGACTTGATAAGACTCGTGCACGAGACCCTCCGTCATGCGTTCGCCACGATGCTTGTGACCAGCTTTACCACCGCAGCGGCACTCTACGCAGCGGTAGTCAGCCCTGTAACTGTTGTGAGGTGCTTCGCACTCTTTGCCGGTACTGCCATCATCATGAATTTCTTTTTGACAATGGGTTTGCTCCCGTCGGCTATTGTAATGCAACAAAAAGTCCGGGTTTGGTGGTGCTCGCCGTTGCGGGACCTAAACCTGAGGTATAACGTCTTTGTCAAAATTATTAAACCAGTGAAAATGGTTTACTGCGAACTCATTCCCTTTTTTGTGCTGAAACTGAGATTCCTGTGGATTATTCTTTTCCTGTTGTTAATGTCTGCAAGTGGGGTTGTCGTGTTTTATTTTCCACGTTTGAAAGTGCCTCAATCTCCCAGTCTTCAATTTTACGTCGATTCTAACTTTTTAGAGCAACATGAAATTGTGTTTAAGGAGCAGTTCTCGGCTACCCGTTCCAGGCCCTCAAGCACCCTAGGCTGTATTCTCTGGGGTGTACAGGGAGTAGACAACGGTGACATATGGAACCCGGGTGATTTTGGTACTCTCCTTTTAGACAATAAGTTCCAGTTGAGCAGTTGGGACCACCAGGCGTGGTTTTATAACTTCTGTCATAATATCAGGAATCAATCTTTTTACAACTCCAATTTTCCATCAGCTTGTTTTATGGAAGACTATGTGCAGCTCATGCGACGAGACTCGTGTGTCGATCCCTTTACTGGCGAGGATGCGACACCGTGTTGCAACCAGCCTGTCTTTCCCTACCACCCTTCTCTCTTCAAAACATGTTTGTATAAATTTGCCAATCAAGGGCTCTTTCCGAGTTTGTATTTCAGAAGAGATAATGCTGAGCTGGCCGTGGTGAAACTCATCTTTGGTACAAATTACCTGAGCGGTTTAAACTATTGGACAAATAATGAGCTCTGGGCCACCGCAGATTCTTGGGTTGAGGAGACATTACAAACGGCGCCAGTTCCTTTACAGAGGGGCTGGTTTGTCCCGACTGCCCCCGATATTCTTCTGTACGATCTGCAACAAAGTCTGGCGTCTGGAACATTACATTCCATGCTTATTGCATTGGCAGTATCGTCCGGAATCCTTGCACTGACCATTCGGAATATTTTGCTCACCGTCTTTGCCGTGATGACTGTGACATGTGCCATATTTGTCACAGTGGCGAGTCTGGTCTTGCTTGGATGGGAACTGAATGTTGTACAAGCAACCATGATCATTTTAGCTGTTGGCTTGCCGGTTGATTATACCATTCACTATGGGGTGGCTTATAAACTCGCCCCCTTACAAAAGCGTGAGCAGCGCACGCGTTACTCTCTCATCACCACGACGCCAGCTCTCACCATGGCTGGTCTTTCAACGCTCTTGGTTGGGGCGTTGTTTCTTCCAGCCACAGTGCTCAGCTATTATCAGTTTGGGGTTTACTGGATGATTGTCACGAGTTCAAGCTGGATTCATGGCACGTTCTTTTTCCAGTCTCTCTGTGCGACTTTTGGACCTGAACATTCGTGTTTCGACTGCTGTAGGCGAGGCAGCCAATCAACGAGAGTCTCCCATCCTGGACTCGCACGTACTAGCAGGCACAAACACACTGAAGGTTGGATTGTCAGCGAGGATAAGGGTATTCAGACAGAATCTGTCAGTCGAGTTAGTCCCGCTCAGACACAAACTACGAAGGTTGCAATAAACATGACGTATACTCAGCAATCTTCGACCAACTTTGACCCAACTAATCCAAAACGGCTGAACCCTCTTGTAGGCATTTGGTAGGTAATAGACCATCCGGTCACAAGGATTAGGAGCCATTACTGCGCCGTCCCCACGCACGTGAACAAAAGAGACGCGCGTTAAATGCTTCCTCGTCAGCTAATAGCAGCTCACTGCTAACCAACATCATGTGCTCGTCAAGCATAGGAAAGCGTGCCTAAGTAACAGGGACACAGCAGTAATGACGTCAGTGAGTCGGTCTATAGACCAGCCAACACTGTACCATTACTGAATGCAACAGCCAATCAGAGGATGTTGCAGTGTTTGTCTTTGAAGCACTATCAACTTTTCTTTTCAAACGAACATTACTATATAATTCTAATTAGAAACCTTGTGCATGATGAAATTTTTCTCACTTTTCTTGTGGCGACTCGATGATGCTTGCCTGCTAGAGAATCTAGCAAGCTTAATTATTATTATTATTGTTATTTCTGGTAATGACACTAAGAATTCCCCCAAAGTGCCCCAGGCACTGTAGCTTGCAAGCTTGAAGAAACCTGTACAAAGGGGACAATGAGAAGCAGTTGCAGTTTTAGAGGTGGGAGGAAAACCCCAAAGGAATATTCTGAGTAAAACCCACGGAATCAGGTAAGGACTGAAAACCCAATCCACTTGTGGACCAGGCCGGGGTTTGAATCCGGACTGCAGAGGTGGAAGACGAGGAAAGAACCGCTACGCTAATTTGACTCCCCAATCACACACTCATAACGTTCGAATTATAGGAGGAAGATAAGTGAACGTCTATTTTAGTTGAATCAAACTTATGTGATCTCGAATTCCTTATCATTTGAAGTCAAATTCCGCATCATACTCGCATTGCATCATAAATGTGACTTGAAAACTGCACATTAATTGTAAATAGTTCTGTAGCCTTTGGGCTTCAACGAATTATCTTTTTTCTTCATTTGTAAAATATATTTTACAAAAAGTAACATTGGAGCATCCCGCGAAGCTTTAAGTGCTCGATTTGACATACGTTCTTCAAGGTGGACAGATACTAAGAGTGGGAAATAATGTTTCGTCCCCATTATGTGCCCTACTACCCACCGCTGTTGTTAAACGCGGCTTTTAAAGCAAAATGTCAATGTTCGAAGCGTGCGGGTGATACATTATAATAGCCACCTGAATCTCGTATTGCAGCTTGAGCGTCATAATGTGGGGTCGTGGGCACAAAAGAAGGAAGTCAGAGGTACTTAGTTCAACTTGCTTTGCGTAGAGTACCGAAGGGTTTTCTCAATCTATTTCCGAGTTGGAAAAGAGTACTTTTTAAGTGTTTTTTAATTTAAGGCTCAATTTGTAGCCTTGAAGTATGTTTTATTCAGGGGGGGGGGACGCTCGCTTCAACTCGTTATCGACTAGAGCCTGACTTATTAGCGTGACAGCTATTACATTTTGGGATAATAGTTACCAGAACCTTCGAACAGTGGCATTTTGCTTTAAACGTTTCTAGTTTGTTGTAAAAGCACCTGATCAAACGACCTGAAGCAGAGGACAGTTGGATAGTGTGGGCATTTATATATGTCTACGGAGGAAGAGTAACAGGACCGTGAGATACAAAAAGATTTGTTTGTGATATGTTTTCTAAGTTTGTATCTTCAATCTGATTGATCTTTATCATGTGTATATTAATTTTTAATAACAGTTTTTAGCCTTGCACTGACTTATCGTCGATGATCTCACAAAGAGACTAAAACCTCCCTTTCGCGCAAAACAGACATCCGAGAAAAACGCGTTTTAAAATATGACCTATTTCATCCTATATTTTCGACCATCGACCGGGGAAATTTTTACAAAGTCATGTAAAGTGAGGTTTGAAAAATGCTAATCCACACTAATTTGTGAATTTGTTGCTTTAATTTAAAGAGTAATTCATTACCAATTTTTTTTTTTTACACTTAGTGAGATTGTAAAACCTGCACGAAGGTCTTACTACTTGCCTATTGTATTATGCGCCCAGGGTTTTATGTTCAATATCGTTCGCACGCGTGCACACTGCATCTTGTCACCATTTTTGCCCTGGTGCCAAGAAGGCTTTGTCACTTGCGAGACCCAAAAATCCTAGAGACCGAGCTTTTTGTCAAATTTTGTTTGCGGTATTTAAGAAAGTAAACAAAATTTGGCTGTAATACCGAGCCAACCTGTCCCAATGTTCCCAAAAGGCCGCAAAACTCCATATCGAAAAAATCAATTTTTCAGGTTTTTGTCACTTCGTGAAATCATCGACGGTATTGTTTATACAAGTGAGACTGTATATAAATGTGAATGTGTATATTGTTTCCAGAGAGCTTCACTAAGCTTGTATGTAGCAACATCAACTACCGTAATTTCCCCAGGAATAAATGGACAGTTTTCCCGTTTTGAAATGCCTGAGAGGAGATAATCCTTCCCAGCACGTTTTGTAAAATTCTTTTGTGAAATTCAATTGTGTACGTAGCTCAGTGTTACCCTCTTTGAATGATCTAATGGTTGCTCGTTTTAGGATATCCAGAGGTAAATGTTAATCGTGGCAAAATGAAAGCTAATCATAATAAACATATATAGTTACATTCAGTGTGGATAAGCCAAAACTTGTTCAAATCTTTCTTTTCTTGTCTCATTTTTTGTAAATCACCGAACACCCGATGGCCTCACCTCTATTGGATAACGCTTTGATGTCCTGGTGTCTTTGAAATGCTTGCGAAAGTGCTCTTTTTCTGCATGGCAAACGACAGAAACAGGAAAGAGTTTCACAGGAACGGTTAATTAGGATGAAGCAGGGTCATAAACGCCCGCGAATGGGGGTAAATATCTCCTTACTTCTTGAACAGGGGGAGCTATTGGCTCATCCTTTCTTTTTCTTTCGTGGTGAGAGAAAGACAGATTGGGAGGTATTTTTTGAATTTCCAACAGCCGAATATTTTAATGAAAAGGGGAGACAGAATGCAAAAGCTTTAACTTTGCCGTTTTAATGCAAGGTAAAGGGGTGTAAGTATACATAAGATGTGCATTCTTTTCATGAATGGCACCCCCTTGTTTCAAGTGATGTCTGGCAATGCCCCCCTTATGTAATTTCTACGGTCGGGATTTAAGTCACCCCCATCCCCTATAACAGATAGACAGCATGGTTACAATGGAAATTTCTGCGCCTAGATTCAAACACTGATGTAAGACTGAAATCAGAAGCGTATCCTGTTTGGGGGTGGGGCAGGGGGGCAGTTTGACACCCACGACATTTTCAAACGTAAGAATACTTCAGGGTTGAGTAGGAGAGAAAGTAATCGGTGTATTTATTTATCAAATAAACACGCTTCGGGCTCTTTATTTATCAAATAAACATGCTTCGGGCTCATATTGAATGAGCACGAAGCTGCATTCGCTTTTGAATTTGCCTGAAGCCAAAAGGTGGATTCGCCGCTGACAGAAATACAAGGTGTCTTAAAAAAGACCGAGATTAATTAATTATTTTTCTTGAATGTAACTAATGATTTTTGTAAATGGAAATTATAATCTGTTTCAGTATGATGTCTTCTTTCTCATGACATCAAGAAATCCTCATTTCCGCCACACATGACTGAGCGCAAACTTTAATGGACTGTGTCAGAAATGGCTTTGCACCAGATGTGTCATAGGTTTGCACGGCGTAAAGCATTACGTACACTGTTAAAATCATTAATGCAAAGACAACCACAATTAGGGGCTTACTCTTGTAGTAGCTAACCCCAGTGTTCACATGTTCCCCATTTCTTTCAACGAAGACTTCTTCCCTTGTACCGGTTTTCATCGCTTTTAAATGGGTATCGTGCATTTTGGAGATTCCGGCAAACATTACATAATTCCAACAAAGGCCTTCTCTTGATAGTATGAATTTAACAGCAAAACAGCTATTTTGTGCTAAGCCATTTCTGAATTGTCCATAACCCCTTCATGCTCAGTCATCTGTGACGGAAACACGGATTTCTTGGTGTTATATGAAAAAAACCAGGATGACACAGATGATGGTTACCATTTATGAAAATAATCATTCACATTCAAAAATAAACAAATTTATCTGGGATTCCATTTTTAAAGACACCCTTTCAATATCATTTATCCAGGTTGCATTCTCAGTTTGATTTAAAGGTAAATCCTTGAAAATTACGTTGTCTTTGACAGCATGCATTACAACTGAGGGACCTTCATGTTATGAAACCTTTTATTCCAAAATTTCTCAGGTACACTTGGCACAAAGACTTTTGTCAAAACCTCCAGATCTTCCGTATAAGCACACACCAGCACGTCTTTTCATAATTTGCAATCTATCAGAGAACAAAAAGTCGAGGCATTTTAGCCAGGTGTATAACAGAAGGGACCACGTGAGCTCGAATATAAAAAGCCTGTACCGGTACAACATATGATGCAAGATATGGGGCGGAGAGCACCCCTCCCCACCTTTGTGTTGGTCATTGTTTGATCGGAATCTCCGGAATTCTTTACAGACATGTGGGGGGGGGATGTATTAGGTAACAATAGTCTAGGAATTTCACATGTGTGTGTGGGGGGTACCCATGGGCCTCATATCGTGCACGGTTTCCGGTACAAAGTGTACGACCGTCAGTCTATGCTCTGCCAGACGCCTTATCTGGACCTGTTCCTAACTTTCTATGTACACTCAAGCCCGAGCATGTCGGAAATGTGTGTCAAACGTCGTGCATTTTGTAGCCGGATATGCATGGAAGCCGCTGTTGGGATCGGTTGTGGCACGACACGACTAAACCAGGCTGGGTGTCAGGAGAAGTTAATGTTTACATTTATTGTAAACTTAAAAGGTCGTAGTGCGATGGGGTTTAAAGTGGAGCAAAGACGGTAGGATATTTTGAATATACATGTAATAGTTATCCATCGTACATTTCCCTATATGGATGTTTTTTGTTTCTCCCATTAGTAATAATGATCATCATAAGCAGCTACGTGAAAAATCCGTTTTAAGCAATAAATACGCAGATTTTACACCGTTAATTTGGACACCTATTTATTCACCTGTTTCGAAGAATGTTAGACGATGATCTCTTCTAGAAAGTTTTGCTGTATAAATCAGGCTAAACGTCATCAATGTGAATGCAATGAACGTCATCGATTTGAATGCAGCCATTCTTTTTTTTCTTGTAAACCGTTGCATGCCGCTGATGGTGGCTCATTCCATGTGAAAAACCTCTGTAGGATTCAAAGAGAACATTGTGAAGAGATTATTGCTGGTATAGGATGAGAATGGACATTTTATTCGGCAAAGAATGTGGCGCCGGGTTATAAAAGGTTATATTCTGAAAACAAACAATTCTCGCATAAAGGTAGAATTCACCATGGGCTTTTGGATGGAATTTTACAGGATTAACTGATTTGCGGGTTACCTTACTGCTACTGTCACTCCATTGACTTGTTTTATGTTTTGAGTTTACTGCTCCAAAAATCAATCACAACACAAGTGCAATTTCAACGGTCAAGGCGA